TGAATCTCAAGGGACGTGTGTATCAAGCTACAGTACGGGCTGTTTTGTTGTACGGCTGTGGGACTTGGCCTTTTCAGGCAGCGGAACTGGGACGTCTTCAGGTGTTCGACAATCGCTGTCTCAGAACCATGGTTCGTGTGGGTTGGTGTCAGCGAATCCGTAATGAGGCAGTAGAAAGCGAGTGTTCGGTTGTGCAACAGGTACTTCTATTGAGAAATGTGTCTAACACAAGAAGCTGCGTTGGTCGGGACGTGTTGCGTATACCGAACCAGTGATTGCCAAAGAGAGTGCTGCTTCCAATGCCCAATTCAGAGTGGCGGAAGCAGAAATGTAGCCACCCCTTGACTTAGCACAGGGGTATAAAGGAGATTAAGGAAAGCTTGTGTGCTGTCGGTGCTACTCGCCTTCCAGGATGGGGCCGCGTGATCCCTACTGCGATTGGTTGAGGACACTACAAGATATGGTTGACAACCAATGTCAGTGGCGTTCTTGTTGTCAGTTTCTGTCCAGATTGCCTGAGTGAATGTCTGGAGGTGTAGGCACCTCGGGATGATTGTGGCAAGCTAGAACTAAGTCCCTCCCCCATCCACCTTCATTCTTTTCTTCACAATAAGGATTTCAAATAAATTGTGGTTTTATGGTAGTGAAGCATTGGTGTTGAACGTTGATGTCATGCTGTCGATGATTGATGATGATGATGATGATGATGATGATGATGATGGTGATGATGATGATGATGATGATGATGATGATGATGATGATGATGAGATTGAACTCTAAGTAAACAACCATCATCAAAGTCGACAGCAGAATGTCAGTTCACATACATAGTTTACTCTAAAGCTTCATTGTAAAGAAGAGAACAAATTGGATGGGAAAGGACTTGGTGACAGCCTAACACAATGATTTTTGGATGCTCAAACCACAATGTACTCACTCTGACACTGAATAAAAACTGTCAGCCAAAAAATTAGTGGAATACTTTAGAATTCATACCTTGCATCGTCTCTAATCTTGCGCAAGGGAATCAAATGGACCAGATTCTGTAGACCAGTTGCATCAATAGCACACAAAATTGTTGTATTCTCTTCCATACCTATCTTTTAGCTCGTGGACTGACCAACATTTTGTTTGCGTTACTCTAAATTCATCTAACAACAATACACACATTTCCTAAAATTCTGGGATATCCCGCTTCGCGGCCACACAGATCGATATAATTCATGACACCAGAACCTGAACTTTTACTATTTCAAACGTGCGCAAAACACCCCACAACCTCGAGTGCCCCTGTTCGGACTGTCAGTGGCTGCTTGTCCGCTGCACTCACTTTGGGAGTACAAAGCACGGTACAAAGGATGTGATTAAATCGGTTTGTTCATAAAAATCCTGTACCTTCTTTTCAAAGACGCAAAAGACGTCGTATGCATATTTTATCTAGACGGAGTTTATCATCAGCTATTTGAACACCAGAATTTTTAAGACCTAACGGTCGATTCACTGACTGGTTCATCACTAGACTAAATAGATTTAGAGAGTTTAGTCACTGTTTTCTGACAGGTGGAAGCTTTTAGTGTTTTTTGTACGCTCTAACAAGCCATGACGTCTGAAAATTCGAATAATTCATTACGTTTGCAAAACTCTAGGGGCATTGTTTGCTGACCAAGCATATCAGGGACAACAGGCCGGCCGACCGTGTCAAATGCGCCTCAAAAATACAAGGGCACTAAAAATGTGGATTACTCGTGCGTGTAGCTTTTATTAGCACCTGAAGGGGTCTAAAAGACTGGCCAACACAATTTCTACCAGGCCGAAATCATACTTGCTGCTCTTGGATAAAGTCTTCACAGGCCACCACAGTATGAAGAATTTTGAGTCACATCAAGACCTTATTTATGACTGGAGTTAAGCCCAAAATATCTCAGTGTTTAGGGCACAAAATTACTGATAAAGAGTTACTTGGTTTTAGACATGCCTCAACATATCCACCTTTTGGTATGAGCTTGGGTAACCTAGCTGTAATTTAGCCTGTTGTACTTGTTGTTACTCACGCGCAGAAAGCTTAGATAGGTAGGCAGACTGAGATAATTAGGCAAATGTGGTAGTCATAAAAATTAGAAAAGTTTTTTTTATGAAATGCACCACAGTACCATTTCTGCTTGTAGTTTCTCACCGTCTTTAGAACACTAGGCAATCGTATTCCTGTAAGACCGCACTACAAGGTTAAGGTAAAAAAGGGCTTCAAAACTAATTCCAGTGAGCATTGAGGTGCCTTATGAATTTATACTTCAGTTTACTGTCTCCATTTCGGAGCAAACCGTCTACATCCAGTACTTATTCAAAACAATTTGATGTTCGTACCAGACATAAAAGTACACACTGTAGCCAAACTCGATATTTCCTCATGGTTTATGCATGGAATAAAAAGCAATGCAAGTTAACGTAGTGACCAGCCCGACACGCTGTCAGCACGGGTCCACCAGCAGAATACTAGGATAATCGTCCCAGCCTGTGAATAATCGGCGGACGCCATGAGAGTATGAGCTTTGTGAACTAAGTATTGTTATTGTAGACAATGACAAAATAACTACACACAACAAAGGTAATAGACTAAAGCTAAGGGATGCCGTTAACCCTGCGATAACTGGTTTCACTTTGAAACAGGAATCTCTTGCAAAATTCGGTGGTTACGATTATGCAGCCTGTAATGGAGTGTGGATCATCGTCTAAATTTCCGCGACCAAAACAAGTACAAGCTTGCAATTATATGCCTCAAAAGCAGTAAAAATTCAGAGCAAATACTATCTACTAAGCTGCAAAAGATTTATTAACTGAAATCAACGGGGGTGTGGGTAGTAGTGCCACTGAACGTAAATGACATCTATAACTTAGTTTTGTTGGTGCAAACACATATCTAAATTCAGATCACCTTTCTCGGGAATAAACACTCGGCAGGGCTTTAAACTATTTGCTTTTCATAATGTAAGGAGTAGGTGCGCTAGTAAAACATATCCATTCTATTATATCTAAACTATATTATAGTAATCTTAAGTGCGCACCATCCAAAATGCAGCATTCGCCGAATGCAGTCCGTGTTCCCAAGACTGATGTCGCACGGGAGACTGACATTCTCCCTACAAATATGTGCAACCTGTTCGATGTGATCATTTTGCGTAGACAAAAACACAACCAAATCATACCCATTCACAAAAGGTACAACAAATATTGGTGAAAATCATTAGGATTACTATATTTAATGCCGTTCGGGGGTGGTATCACCCAAATGCTTACACAGCGGCTTCAGGGTTGTCATGGTTTCAGGAGTTTCTGGGAGTTCTGAGTATCCAGCTATTTTTCGTAAACAGATGGTGCCAGTGGTCCAGTTTGTATAATGCGACGCTAAAATTAGACATAACGATTAATCAGGATATTTAAGCATTCATATCAACAGCGCGCTGAGTTTTGGCTGATACACACCTTGTACAGGATTGTTCTCCCCTCATATGTTTTCTCTTTGTTGCTTCTTCTGAAAAAGCATCCCGTTCATCAAGGGTTTATCCATAAGTAGACAGTCCGCCCGTTTACGCCGGGTTTCGTTCTCCATTTTACTATCTAAAAATTATTATTTTCTAAGTTATTATGTGTTTTTGTCTTGAAAGATAATCTATATTTTGCTGTTGGTTACTAGATGAGCTTAAACCCACAGGTATGTTGCGTGCCCCAAGGAAGGTCATCTATCTTGGATTCATCATGCAATTTAAACGTAGTTGTCTTTCGAATGCGAAGTAGTCAAAATCATGAGACAAGTGAAGCTTTCATTGGTGTTTTGAGGTGATATGCGTGGTATGAACTCCAAGAAGAGGGTGTGCAGGAAGGGGATATTCTAAGTCCATCAGCATGCCAAACAAATGGTCGATAATGGTCAAGTCAGAGGTCCACATCCGAATAGGGGACGGCTCTATCAAGGCACACACAGAGTGATACTCAATCCTAGTCATTATTCAGCTTGATCTGTCCAAAGACTTTCACAAAAATCTACATCTTGGACCCTTGTATATGTAACAGCACCAGAAGCATATCAGGATAAGATCCATTGCATTCGAAAAACGGAACAACAAAACAAGTGAAGCACGCCGAAAAACAATGAAATTAAGACTGCTGGATACAAAAGATGACGGCAAAGAAAAACGGGTGGGCGGTAGTCCAAACCAAAAGCACCCATTTGAGTCTCCTATAGATTTGGTCAGTAATTTTGCCCGAAGAACAACAAGAAGAGTCCATCACTAGCATGTAGCAATCTAAGAAGCACCAAGACATACCAAACAATGGCTTCTGCGCAAGCGGAGCTGTAAAGGTACAGACACAGTATGGTAGAGTGGGGTGAGCCCTTCCAAATCCCCCTGGTCACAAATGTGCATAACTCTTACTTGTGTATAGTTATTCAACCCGCTTGTTAAGAGGAATCTCTTGGATCCATGATTGGCACTTGATTTCCGGAGTACCTAATAAATGTTGGTGTGTTGCATCTTCACTGTTGTAGCGAATATGTCCGAATCTATATGACTCAATTTCACGAATGTTTTCAGAAATCACAATCAAAATGTTGAGTACATCAGCTGCAGTCTACTACTCATTGTGAATTGGGTTTACAGCTGGTTTCCAATTTGTCTACCCTTTGACAATCTGAATCAGCTTGCTTTTTTGCTCTATTACAGCCAGTTGAAATGCAAATTTTCTCCTCCACAAAGAACTAAAGCATTTACCAGTTTCTGTACAACGTACTCAACATCGAACACAATGGATGTTATTACACAGGAAAAGATCGACGAAATGAAAGCAAAGCTTACTTTGCTGGGTAATCATCTGCTGGACTGATTGACAGATTTTTCTCTCCCCTAGAGGGTGATAGGAAGGCGTATTTCGAGAGTGCAGTTCATGTGCTCTCAGAGAACAAGAAACGCGTAGCCGATTTGCGCTCTGAAAATCAAAAATTACGCAGTATGCTGAAAGAAGGCTTGGCGGCAGGTAACTCTCTGCTTTCGATTATTTTTACGCCGAAAAACATAGAGGACCGCATCATCAGTCACGTCTTTCATAATCGCCAAGCAGATAAAGCCTGTCTTACCAACAAAACCGGCTCGGTAGGTTGCAAGACTTTGGTCAACTTCCGTTCCACCAGGAGGCAATCACTGTAATGGATTATCGAACTTGCGATGCAATGAAGAAGTATAATGCACTACGCCATATGACGGTCCAGAAAGAAGAAAAAATTGAATCGCTCAAGAAAAATTATCTAGAACTGCAGCAAGCAATTGAAGATGGAAATGCCACAACTGCGGGAACTAATAGAGAAGGGAAACGTTTGAGGGAATTGGAAAATCGTTTGGATAAAGCGCAACTGAAATATCAAGAAGCCGAACATATAAAACGGACATACGGACAGATAAAGGACAAACTGCAAGATGTATGAGAACATACAAGCTAATAGCTTTTTCTTGCATAGGAACAATTAACGTATGGTCACAGCTTAGACAACCTTGAGAAACAAATCAAGATGGCCCAAGATGAACTGGCGGAATTGCAAATCATGTACAGTGACGCTGTTCTTTCCAGGGATGCAGCACAGAAAGAATTGAAATATCAAGAAGAGGTCATTATCACTGAGAGGAGACGACGTGAAGCCGAACTGACTGGCATGAAGCGAATTGCAGAGGGAAAGCAAAGTTCTGGAGAAAAAAGCGGACCAATTGTAAGTAGTTTATTTTTAACTTTTAGAAAGCTTACGTAGAAGGCTGTTGATATATCAGGGTCTTGGGCTTTTTTCAGTGAACTAGTTATCGTTGTCTCTTACATTGTCTACGCTTTTGTTTGCGAACATTTTCTGTCACTTTATCCAGTCCGTCTGTATAAATTAAACTTCTTCTGCGGAGAAAATAACTCAAATACGGTCGGAATGGAAGAACGTCCCAGAGCGAGTGAATTAAACAAAAGTGGTAAACAATGCAACCCCGAGCCGTAGGTGCAGAAGCACAAGTCTACTTCTACTACGTGCTTTTCCAACTTATATCACTACAGATAAACGAGAGCCAGTTAAAAGAAAATTGTCCTTTTTTTCTGGAACCGAACAGATTATTGTTGACAGCGCCAGTGTCTAAATCTATGACCTTTCACAAGCCCCATAAAGTACAGCTTGATTCTCCGTGGTCGATACGCGCATATCGCTTCGAGGTATTCCAATATTCAACAGAATGTCTACAGTACTGATGGAACATTATTCAATGAGCCATGGTTAGGTCCTTACTGTTGAACAAATGCTACAAATAAAGGAACTAAGTGGGCGTATAACCAGAAAACAAATCCTATCGCGAGTAAGTGTTTCATACAGGGCATTCATTGTTTCCTACTATCTCATGCCACAATTAGTACATATGAAGATGTATTGCAAACTGGAGTTGCCTTATGGGGAGGGCTGTTGAGTCAGGTTTAATGTGGCTGTCTTTAAAAAATTGACACGCAAACGCTCTTTGTCACTCAAACATCGACCTTATCGGAATAGGCATGGCCAATACCCTCATATTTGTGACAGCCTTGCCACCGAACGTAGCGCTTGAACAATCAGCCCGAGAACCGGACTCAGGATCACGCAAACTATATCCCAAATAAAGCAAGCAAATAGCTTACCAGCAGGTAACTAACTCATCAGCTGACTAACCAAGCGATTACTCTATTTTCTTCGGTTTCAGCTTAATAGGCTGTTGTTTTAAAACCGACCTCTGTGGAACCGAGTGTCGGTGGCTATGAAAGCCCAATTGGTGGTTGGATTATTTGCTGAACTTGATAGTTCTATGACAAAAGGTTCATCACCAACCAAGGTGGTGAATGAACTGAGCAGCGTGCATCAAAGTGTAACGAAGCACCGAGGTTCAAACTTTGAGTAGTGCTACGTCTGTGTCTCTATACGCCCCGCCAAAATGGGGCAACACCTGACCACTAGTAGTTGTTAAGATGGTCAGTACTGTTGTTTTGTTCGAATTTCGATTTCTGGACGTCCAAACTACCTTTGAACTTAACTAGACGAACTGTTAGCTCACACTATCCGCTCCCTCAAATATGCGGCTGGTCTTCCTACCCGATTCATTTGTTCGACGGTCGTTCTATCTAAGCCCCCGTACAGTCGGCTGAGGCCTCATTTGCATAAGCATGTAGTTTGGATCCCACTCATTATGAAAGCTTACAGAGTTTCTTGCAAAGTTCTCTACTCCTGCCTCTATATGCCAGGATCTTCAGCTCATTCTAACTAAATCAGTTTCTCTACTGGTTTTCACTTACAAAAATAAGGAACAGTGAACCATTTTGCCATATGAACGCTGCCACTGAGTTTACTCCCTTTTTTCAAACTTAATATATATCTGAATGATATGCAAGACTGTTTTAGCCGCATTCCTCGAACTCGTTCACTGGTCATGAGACCCCTTTCTTGATGTTCACATTCTGTATGTGAACGTCCTGAAACTTTTTGTAGTCTTGCTAATCTTGCTATTAGTTCGGACGCATTTGTGAAGCACTTGATCACTTCTCAGAGGTTATATACGAGCGTATTGCAAAGCTACGGCATACAGTCATCCCAGTGGGCAGTGAGGATATTACCTCGAGTAAGAAGGTGGATGTAATACAACCACCAGGCTGAGTCAACGGCACAGCCACCAAAATATAGTGTCTGAGTCCAGGAGAAAGGCGCCTTTTGAGAAGCCAGTGGATACTCTCCAGCAACTACTCCAGGGTCATGAAAAGTGACCTTCAGAAATCACATGAGTTTTTCTAGAACGCACGACAATGCCTGCCTGAAGGCCAATGTTTATTCGGCACCCACGAAAGAAACCTGGAAATGCTTATTTCAAGAGTAAGCTTTTAATGAAAAAACAATGCACATTCATATGAATAATCTGTCGAAAATCTTGATACTTCGAAGCATTGTGGCGGAGATGCAAAGTTTGATTCTTACGGGAATTTAATTAAACAGTTCTTGAATCCAAAGCCCTATTTGTCGGTATGTTCATATTTCCACGGGAAAATAAAAATTATTGAGTTAATTTATGCAAATTTCACTCTACTCAATGGTCCGATCGACACCCACATATACAGCCACAAGTCGGGTCATTAATTAACGCGGATATCTTTAACTACTTGCGCTTTTTCAGTAGCCATTAGGTGAAGGTATCTTACTACGATCTGTTGTGGTTCGGTAGCATGAATTTCGGGACACTGCTATGATCTTAACACTGATTTCCTCGTAAACGAATGTCTAAGTAGGCATATTCTAAGGTTTGGAGTGACGTAAAAACTTTTTAAGATTGCTTAGTTTCTAAACACTCTTTGGATAACTGGGTTTTTGCTCAAAAAAAGAATCAAAATATCCTTCCGAATCTCAAGATATTCGCGTTAATTCATTTTGTAGTGGCAGAACTGCCTAGCAGCCATTTTATCACAGCTTGCATTTACCGATCATGTAACTCACGAATTACCTAATGACTACACTGCAAACCTCGATAGCTGAGGTCTAGACCAAACTAGTGAAAACCTGCGGACGAAAAATTATGGGCTGGCAGAAGGAGATGAAAGACTCAGAAAAAGATATTCATGTCATCAGTGTAATGCAACTTTAAGGGTGAACTCCACGCGACCCTCCTTGGTTTCAGTTGCAGAGTTGACAGATATGGCTGCCAAAAAGTGTTTGTGGCGTCGGTGCTGTCAGTTTCTACCAAGATCGCTTGAGTTTGTGTTGGAAGTGTCATTCCTTAGTATTACTGCTGATGATAATGACGATATTTCAGAAATGCTATCTTCATCACCTAATGCACGTGCACTTTTAGGTCATCAAACCGTCTGAGCCCCGGGTAAAGTGATGCCCTGAGCGCCTTACCACTTGAATAGGGAAGTTCGATCCGGTAGAAACTTAGACCCAGGGAGAAGAAAGTAACTTCAAAGGTATCACTAAAATCTTTGCTGGTTTCCCCTCCTTCTTCTAAGTTATATCCACCTGGGATGTGAAAGTGGTCAGCCCAAACTTTTTTACACGGTGGAGCAACAAAACATGAGATAACCCAGGAAATTAGGGACTTTGTCTAGCACAATGGAAATTCATTCTTCGGTTTGAATATCAAAGGTCATTTTGGTCAAATTCTAACTAACTAAAAGCAGACAAACTGCAGCCTTCCCACCAAAATAAGGGTGCCAAAATCTATTGTTTCATGTTTCAATACCAAGTCAGTCATGCTAACCAGACGATTTCAGAGGTACCGAAAAAGCGTGACATAAAGAACTTACGAGCCGAATCAACATTTACTCAGTGGTCCGAATAAATCTCATATTAGTGGCTTGGATATGTTAATGGATTGTAGCTTGTTGATTTTCAACCGGTTAGTCAGACGTTGTTTGAACTGCCTATCCGGAATGATACGAGCTAATAGGTCAGGTTGTCACTAAAGAAGCACGCCAGATGGGCCGAACCTGCTAACTGTTGCCAGTAACTTCATAACAATGGGTGCTCGGTTTCCACTATCAGAATCACTACCCGTACTTTAGAAGCCACTGTTTCAACAGCTTTTAACTGGAGGAAGCTATTGATCAAAAACAGGACTATTATTCCAGCAGGGCCCACATTTTCGGCATAGCCACAATATTATTCTTCTGGCTGCCTATGAACACCAAATCCCCCCCTCACACCAATGACGAACGGCGTTTGCTTCGTTGGAATAGTCTGCTAATAGGTATTTGAGTCTTCCCATGATAAATATAAGTAGTCTCTTTTGGATGCTTAAATATCTTCAATGTCATGTCTTTAATGGAACATATCCTTACAATGAGCTTTCGAACAAAGGTTTTCCTGTTTAATGAATTTCTGGAGATGTTTTGTAATAAATCCGCATATTCAGTGCTGCTTTGTTAAGGTATTCTCATACAGCTACCCGGGATTTTCTGATGAAGCAGTGACAACCAAATCTGCTAAGCATGTTTTCATCACTGTAGGCCTCACTTCTTTGCCCTCTCATTTTCGGGACACGCAGGTGTTAGAGATTTTTGCTTATAACTTCGCGGAAATCATTCTAAAGAATCGTTGAATTAAATATGGTCTCCCCATCGTCAGCGTTACACTCTTAACTTCAACATGAATTCTTCGGCTGTTTGGATGGATGGCGAACAGTAACGGCGCTTGCTACTCTCAGAAAATTTCGGGTTGAGACAATATTCTATTTTTGAGAGAATCAACCACTAACTACGGCTTTTCAAAATCACGTTACTGAAGCGGAACTTTGTTTAATTACCTTATTGACATTTTTGTCACCTATTTGACTAACTTCACTATATAT